TAAAATTTGGGGCAGTGGGGAGGAACAAAAGAGTAACAAAAAGGATACTCATTTGGCCTACCAAGTATTAAAACCTACAATGCTACAAAAATTAAAACAGGGTGATAATTGTACATAAAAATAGGGAATTAGATCAATGGAAAAGCATAATTGGGTTCACTCTAAATATTTTTAAATTTTTACCTGCATTTTAACTAAATACTATTTTCATCTGTTTTTTATGACTGCAAAATATTTTATACCAAGGAAGCATTATAATGTATTGAATGTATTATAATGTATTTTTGATATGTAGGCTGTTTTCTCTTTCTTAGTTACCTAAATAATACTAGATCTATGTTCATATATTCCTATGTATATTTATACTTATTTTCTTGAGCTGTGTTCTCAGAATTTGGAATTCTAGGTTAAAGAATATGCATATATTCAGGATTATGATACTCATTTCACTATCTTTTCAGGAAACTGATTCAGTTTACATTCTCAAGTTTTACTAGTATGCTGATTTCCTCATGTTTTTTTCTTTCTCATTTCTGGTTTTTTTTTTTTTACTATTTGCAAATGTAGTAGTTAAAAATGGGGTAACATTTTTATTTGCAAATGCATTTTCCTAATTCTGGTTACTTGCTATTTTTTTGTTTACTTTGCTATTTGTATTTCTTTAAGAATTGCCTTTTCTCATCTTTTGTCTATTTTTCTACTATATTAATGTATTGTCATACTGATGTGTAATAACCTTTTTGTTTATTAAAAGGATTAACCTCTTGCCTATTATTTCTCCTGTTTTTATGGGTTTCAGCATTTTTATACCTTTATAGTACTTATATATAAAATACTATATTCAGATAGCATTTTATGACATGGAAATTTTGAATTTTTCATATAATCAAATTTTATATACTCAATTTTTATATAATCAAATCTATCAATTATTTTATGTACATTAATTCTCTTTAGTTTTATAATTTTAAAAAGTTTATACTACACTCTTATCAGATAAAAATACAATAGTTATTCTTCTAGGATTTTCATGCTTTCAGTTGTTTGGATTGAGCTGTTTAATTCTATTATTCATTAAGTAAATGTTTATTAAATGCCAGATGCTGCGATACAACAGTGAACAAGATAGTTCCCTACCTCATAGATTATATATCTGGTAGGCAGAAACCAAAACAAAACAGACAAGTAAGTTGATAAATATTATATTGGCAGGTTACAATTTGTCCTATATATAATTACACAATATAGAAAATACTGTAGTCAGAAATATATCTTTAGAACATGACTTTTTACTCTCATAACGTTTTCTCGTGCAACAGAAAACAGGCAGAAGATACATCAGGTATAGGTAGGTTTGTGTCTAGTAGTTTTTGTTTTTTCGATGAAGCAAGCCTTGAGTCCTCAGCGAAGTGATGGCTGAGAAAAGAGGTGTGGGTAGAGGAAAGTAGAGAATGTTTAAAATGATCATCTCTGGGCTAAAAAGGGAATTTACTGGAAATATATCTCATTTCTGGTTTTCTTTGGTGTTATGTAGGATTAAAATTCAATATTTTAATTCAACCACATGTAAAAGGCCCATTTATTAACTATTTCTTTTACCTGTTGATTTAAAATAAAATTTTCATTGTATATTAAAGTAATATATTCACTAGATTATATTTCTGAAATTTCTATTCTCTTCTATTATTTTATTTTTAATGATTAAATCAGCATCATATAGACTGAGTTGTTGGTATTTTATAATATATTTTAATATCTGGTAGTTCATACCCTCTCATTCCTTCTTGCTGCCATTGCTGTTGTTATGCTATTCTTGGCTATGTATTTTTCTTGACAAAATTTGGGATGATTTTGTTAGATTCTTTTAAAAAAAATTCAAGGTTTTTGTTTTTGAAGGATTTTTTTTCCTTTTTTGCAATTAATTTTGTAATTATAAAGTGATTTGGGGGGAATATAAAAATAAAATTTCATAGTAAGTAAAAAATATTTTGAAAAAATGAAAAAGTTACACTGTACAGATAAAATGTAGATATTTTAACATGTCATCCAAAAGAAAAATTGATATTTCCAGAATACCAACACAAATTATCAGAATTAGTCTGAGAAATAGTAATTGAATCTGAGTTTTAAAGTGAATTATTAATGAAATAAAAGGACTAGTCCAATCAGATATAAGAAAATAAATGAACAACTTGGGGTCATAGATGACATACTTTAGGCTGTTAAATTTTAAAATTAGGCTTTTAAAATTTTTAATTGACAAATTATAATTGTGTATATATTTATGGGGTACAACGTGGTTTTGTGTATATGTATGAATGATTAAATCGAGCTAATTAACATATCCATCAACTCACATGCTTGTCATTTTTTGTGGTGAGAGTATTTAAAATGTACTCTCTTAGTAATTTTGAAATATATAGTACATTATTATTAACTATAGTAACCATGCTGTGCAATAGATCTTTTGAACTTATTTATTGTGTCTAAATGAAACTTTATATTCTTTGACCAACATCTCCCCTACTTCCTGGCCTCTGGTAACCACCATTCTACTCTCTCTCTGAGTTCAATTTTTAAAATTCCGCATATAAGTGGGATCCTGCAGTATTTGTCTTTCTGTTAGGTTATTAAATTATTAAATAAATTATTTCTCATTTTAAAATATCATTGATCTATGTGCCAGAAATTTTGCAATTCTGCTTCCCTATTTTTAGGCAAGGAAGGCAAGGCATAGAAAGAGTGAGCAAGATTCCTGCAGTCACACCAGTGTTAGGATTAGGATTGGGAATCTGAGTAGAAGCTCTGCTTTGTAATTCCCTGATGTCCTAAATCACATTTAATAGTGAAATGTTTTCCAGTGATTGAATTGAACTCTATTTTATTCAATGCCATTCTATGAAGGCATGTCTCGCCCAGCTAACAAGATATCTAGTCATTTGTAATTAAAATATTAAAAAATAAGACATTGTTAATTATTTTAAGTATTGAAATTCAAACTAACTTCTGAGACAATTATGTAATGTTTTTTGATTAGATCAATTTTTTTGACTTTTAAAATAAAATACTTATATAAAATCTTTTAAGGAGTTTATAATATGCTGAAATAACTTTTATTATTCTATATTTAATAAACCACTTAATGTACCAAAAAAGCCTTGGATTAAGTAGATACCGAAGAGAGAGAATTTGTGTCAGTAGTAGGGGAGCCTTGGGTCATAGCCTGCCCTGAATCAATACCTCCCTTCCCTCGAAAATGATAAATCAATTTTAAGTGTTACCAATTATTTAGTGTATCTTAATATTTCATAGCTATCCTGAAATTACTCTTATGTCATAAATTTTCAGGAAATCTGTTAGTGTATTAGTGGTTCATTTTTTAGTTTTTCTCAGTTCACTTATTCACATAGCAAGAATTCTTCCTCAATAGGTCATTCTATTAAAAAAAAATAGAAGAAGAAGAAAAGGAAGGAAGGAAAGATGTAAGGAAGGGAGGGAGGAAGGTGGAAGGGGGAAAAGCCAAAAAATAAAATAAGTCCAAATTTGTGGGGAAAGTGACAGGGCTTTTCTTATTATTTTGGTTTGTACTAATTTTCACTTCTTTTTTGCTAACAGATAATTTAGTTATTTTTTTTTTTTTAAATGGCAGGGAATGTCCTGTTGAAATCATATGCTGTATTGCAATGTAGAAATTGGATTTTAGGGTTAATTTTATTCATAGCAATATTATTTTTCCATTTTTAGATTAAACTTGCTAATTTTAATATAAATTCGTCAGTTATTCACTTGGAAGACATAAAATGTAAGCATTTCCTACTTACAGGCAACGTTCTGCATTAGGAGAATGTCTGGCTGCCTTCGCTGGTGCCTTTCCTGTAGCATTTTTGGAAACTCATCTCGACAAACATAATATTTACTCCATCTACAATACTAAGTCTTCACGAGAGAGAGCAGGTATCACAGAAGCATGTGCAGTGTTTGAAGCTAAAACTCAATGACATTTATTGTATTCATTGTTCATAATGATGTTCATCTGTAGTGATTTTTAATGAGCTGTTCAGTTTACTATCTCCAATGTTCTTTGTTCTTAACTGCTGTTATTTGGGTATAATTTTGGAATGCTGTATCCTATTCCTCTTCTGAAGAAAATTCATTAAGTTTCTTCTATGTTAATGAGCCATAGGCAAATTAACACTCTTGAGAATTAGGCAAAATTATTAGCAAATATGGAAAAGTAGGTCAATCTGATTTCTGATTTGATTGTGTCTTGAAGTTCATCAGCAAGGGGTGTGGCATTCTTATTCAGTAGAATTATGGATTTGTATCCTTCCTTATTCCCTGTTCACCAGATATGTCTGCCTCATTGGAACAATTTTATATCATGTGATTTTTTAATAGTTTGGTCTAATTTTTATCATTTATAAAACTTAAAAACATATAAACCTGAGACGCTCAACTAAAAACCTTACACCTGGCTCTAACATGCGTATCCCTATGATTTGTATATTTGTGTGTACACTAGGTGTCTATATACACTCCTGCTTCAGGTTGCATTCCATTTGGGAAAATCTGATTATTTTCTGGGTATATAGGCCCATTTTTTCACTGTCCCAGTTAAAAAAGCTTTTAGAACTATTGTTAATGATTTCAGTGATTGGCGTCTGAAAACCTATTTGCATCATTAACTGGGATTCAAATTGAGTTGGATAAACAAATATTAAAGTAGAAACTAGTTATTCTTCTAATAAGAACTGGTAAGCCATCAAAGCACAGTTCTCAAAGCCGGAACATTACACAAATGCCCTCTCGTAGAATTTTTTTCTGTTCGATTTCCTCTAAGTTTATTATATTTGAGTTGTTTTCCAATAGCCCTAAAGAGACTTGGGCAAGGACTCTTTGCTCTTCACAAATGCATAACTCTCTGTTAATGAACTTGTTTCTCTGTGTAATTCATGTTTTTATGGGAGATGCTGGTTATGCTCATTTTATAGTGAATCTTACCAAGTAAGAAATTTTTTAATAACCTGAGTAATCATTATTAATTGACTTCTATAATTCTGATTTCATATAAAAGATGAAGCTAAAGAAAAATATGCTGAATGTCCCTTGGTAATACTTTTCTACATAATTTCCACCATATGATTTTAAGTAGTTGGTGAAAAATGGTAAAGTTTGAATTATTAATCTTCTTTGTAAACAGAGTTGTTTTATTAAAGCTTTTGATTAGTTAATATTTTTGCTATGAAGCAAGAAAGCACATTTGTTATTTCATTACAGATAAGGAAATACACAAAGCAGATAATTTACCTGCTTATGTTTCTATAACATATCATTTGCATAACAAAGGAAAGACATTAAATTTAATGATTTCATTCAAGTTTTAGTCATTCAGCAAATAATTGTGATGTGCACTGTGGTAGATAGAGGAGATATGAGGCAAAGATAAATAAGACTTGCTGCTTTTTCTCAGGGAGTTTTTAATTGCAGGAGAAGAAGAGAGATTGACAAATGTGTGGCAGAATTCAGAATAAAGATTGTTGGGGACACAAAAAGGCAATTTTAGCTGAGAACACCTGGAAAGACTTGACAAAGCTTATACAAGATGAGTCTTAAAACTAGGAAGACTGAAATTCCAGTGCATTAGGAGAAATTTCCAGCATTTTGATGTGGCTGGAGATAGAGTTTGGGAGAGAAAAGTGTGGATGAGGTAATAAGAATAGAAAGCACTGTGTGGGGATGGGCACGCTTGTAGCTCTGACTCAGACAGTGCAAAGACAATATATGTAACCTCAACATTTGTACCCCCGTGATATTTTGAAATAAAAAAAAAAAAGCAAGAAAGAGGGGAGGCAGGCTTTTTATGTTAGGTAAGGAGTAGGGACTGTACCAGTGGCCCAGAGAATTCTTTTAGCAGCTTTGAAAAGGGAAGTGACATGACTAGATTTGCATTTTAGAAATAAGTCATAACAAAATGGAGCATGAAAGGCATGAGTCAGCAACTAGAAAAGGGTCATGGTAATGCAAGGGCAAGATGCCTGAGCAAGGCCCATTGGATGGCATACACAGGGAAGCGGTTGTGAGAGCTCCTGCAAGTAGAGTCATCTCGTGTGTGACACGAGGGAACATGGTGGCCTAGAAGTTCTCCCAGGTTTCTAGCCTGAGTGACTGATTGGATCCTGTTGTCCCCACCTAGTTAATGCACGCTAAAGAGATAGGTTGGAGAGGAAAGGAAGAGTTTAAATTTAGACCCATTGCGTTTTTAGTTGCTTTTGAGACATCTAGGATTAGACGGGAGCATTCTAAGGGAGTGGTGAGTAGTGTTAGGGCAGGAACTCAGGGAAAAGAGAGAAGCTTTGAAACAGCTGCCTGGAGGAAAGACAGAAGGAGCCCTTTAGGGGAAGACATGCCACATCTTGCAGAGTGTTGAATCCCAAAATTAAACAGTTGCCTGTGTCTATCAGAAACAGTGGAAATATGCCCCCCATGTTGGTTCTCTCATGCAACACGGCCCATGTGTATGTGTGCTTCTCCAGCTCTCAGTTTGCCAGCCAACGTGGAAGACGTTTGTCCGAATATACCGTCTTTGGAGAAACTCATGGAGGAAATCGTGGAATTAGCCGAGTCCGGCATTCGCTACACTCAGATGCCGCATGTCATGGAAGTCATTCTGCCCATGCTTTGTAGCTACATGTCTCGCTGGTGGGAGCACGGACCTGAGAACAATCCAGAAAGGTCTGAAATGTGCTGTACAGCTCTGAACTCAGAGCACATGAACACACTTCTAGGAAACATACTGAAAATCATATATAATAATTTGGGAATTGACGAGGGAGCCTGGATGAAGCGGTTGGCAGGTAAGCATGGGAAAGAAAGGGACCCCTTTAATTGGTTTTAATTCCAAAAATACTTGAAGTACAGAAGACCAGAATTTTCCTATCTTAGTTTTTATTCATAGTTTCTTCTTAAAAAATATATTCTTGATTATTTCTGTCATGCTGTTTTTTTTTTAAGAAATGTAGCTATAATCAGACATTGGGTAACTTTCCATATAGTCACTACTTTTAAGTAAACATTTTCCTGACTTGACAGTGTCTGTAGGATTAATCAATAAATATAGCAGTAAAAACTAATGATTCTGTAGACAGAGACAAAAATAAAACTGAATTATTAAATGGCCTACTTTTAGCAGTCTGTCCTATGGGAAATGGCGAGGTGGGGTATAAATTAAAAAAGTGCAATCAAAAGTTAACAATTAAGTTTATTTATCATTACATTATTTATATTGAAAAATTTGGAAGCAATCTAAGTGCCTAAGAACTAGAGTATGGTTAAATAAGTTATGTACATCCATATACCAGAATATTACGTTATCTTTAAACATTTAAGGTTTCAACAGTGTTTTATGCCTTGGAAATGGTTATATCATGAAAAGAAGAATTTTTAAAACAATGAATTTAGAATGATATATGTATAACATATATGTTTATGAATTTATCCATTGATGAAAATGCCAAAGAAATGCATCAATGACTTACTAATTTGGGTAGGTGATTATAACTTGATTACAACTTTTCTCTTTTATTCATTTCCCTGATGTACATGTGTTACTTTTAGAGGAAAAATTCATTTTAAAAATGGCCTAATCAAGGTGAGAAATATTATTAATGACTACAACTATTATTAAGTAAGAAAGCAGTGTTACGCATACTCTAACTCTTCCACGGGCCAAGGATGATACCCACAGTTAAGATGAGAAGACCGTATGTAATCTCGTAACATAATGCAGAATGTGTCTCTGTTCTAACGAAAGGGCTAGGGGAACCTTCTCCATTTGGGGACTTGACTTTTTTGTGTGAAAATAATTGATTTCAAAAATTAGTTAAGTCTTTTTATTCTAAATTAGCTATCGATTTTTTTAAAAAAACAAGGGAGCTCATTGAATTGAATTCAGTAATCATTTTTTTAACAGCAACTATGCAGTTAAATTTTGGACTAGAAAAATGGCTGGGGCATGAGCCATAGCCTTAAGGAAGCCATGTGCTGAAGGAGAGAGAAGCTTTAATCATGCTACCATTGTAATCATAATCTATCTTCATGTTAATAAATGTTTATATAAAGCAGAATACTAATGTCTGTCTTCAAACAGTGTTTTCCCAGCCTATTATAAATAAAGTCAAACCTCAGCTCTTGAAAACTCATTTCTTGCCATTAATGGAGAAACTCAAGAAAAAGGCAGCCATGGTGGTATCTGAGGAGGACCACATGAAAGCCGAGGCCAGGGGGGATATGTCCGAGGCTGAACTTCTCATCCTGGATGAATTCACCACGCTGGCCAGAGATCTCTATGCCTTCTACCCTCTCTTGATCAGATTTGTGGACTATAACAGGTATGATGTTCAAAAGTAATTTAGTAATTTCCCTAATTCAGTCATAACCTTCCTTGGTTCATGTGTTCCTACTGAATTGCTTCATTCACTATTTGTCCGTGAGCTTGTTCATGGTTATGACATAATTAGATGTTTATAGGTAAGTCAGTTTTTTACTGAGCATCTTAAAATTGAAGTTGGAAATCACATTCTGAAGCAGTCTGTCTTTTGCATGTAAAAGTTAACAGTTTGACAGTTTTGATGTTTAAATTTTATTAAATGTTGCAACATTTGCTGAAGCCATTGTGAGCTTTGTCATCAGCAAATTTAAATTTGGGATGGTGATTTTTATTTTTTTTTTAATTGACTTTAAGTGGTAACTGAGAAACCACTTTATTTATTATGTGATCCAGGGCAAAGTGGCTAAAGGAGCCTAACCCGGAAGCGGAGGAACTCTTCCGCATGGTGGCCGAAGTGTTCATCTACTGGTCGAAATCCCATGTGAGTATGAACACATTGACAGACACTTCCTACAGCTGTTCAGTTTATGATAAAAGCTTTCTACATGTTAACCCATTTTCCAGTTCCCCTCAGTAACTACCTATGGTGGTGTTTCTCAAACCTGTCTACTAGGTTTCATGTAACAGTTGAGTAGACAGAATAAGTTCCCCTGGGGAGTTTGAGGAATTATAAACCCTCTTTTAAGTTTTATAATTTATGTTTTCAAAAATCACAGTGATTTTTCATTGCATCCATAAACATGTTTTAAATTTTCCCCTAAATCTTAGAGTAATATTGGCATTACATAGAGATACACCATTTTTACTGTCTAGCTTGCCCTGTCTCTTGGCGTTTTACCCTCTAATCCCCAGCAATACTCAGACCTCAGTTAAGAAATGCTGACATAGACTAGTGATTTCTAATACTAGGGCATCCTTGTTTTACTTGTAAAGATACTATTTCCTTAAATTTATCTTCACACCCTTTCACTTCTATAGGGATTTAGTTTGGCTCACATTTTAGAATCCTTTGGCTTTTCAAATAAAGCTTCTGCTAGGAATCTTGTTGACAGAATTTCTAAAGTACCTATTTAGCGAATTTTCACTATTTTGTATGTTACAAGTAGAATTGTGTATTTTTAAATTTGGAAAATATTTTAATCATAAAAAGAATTTTACAGTATTCTATCATTCATTTCCAATAACTAGCAGAACATGAGTAAATGGGCGTTTGTTATGATCCCAAATTATTTCAAAAGCTTAAAATATTTATGTCAATTATAATTCTGTGCCACTTTGTAAATGAGAGACTCTGAAGAGGGTACCTTCCCAGCTTACTTCATCAGATTGTTATATAAATCAAATTACTTTGAATATGTAATATTTTTTAAAAACCTAAATATTCATATTTAATATTTAGGATAATAAATATTGTTGCCTGTATCTGAGGAATCTTTCAAACTTAATACTGAACTTTATATAAAAACATACATAAAAACATGTAATCACACAAAAAGGATATATGAAATAATGGCTTTTTTAACATTTAAATTTGTATCTTCACATTGACCTTATCTGTGATGTCATAGAAAATTATTTTAGATTCTTTATGTTTTTAGGTAAAAGCAAATATTTCTTGTCCTATGTAACTCATGTTAGAGGGGTGGATTAGATCATTCAGGCTTTTCTAAAGAAAAATTTAAAATCCAGAAGAAATCAACCCATCTTGAGCTGCCAAAGAACAAAGATGGATTTTTATATTTTTACCCTTTATTTTCCTTGTTGAGTTACTCCACCTGGGATGCCTACTGGGCAAATGAGGAGGAGCCCAGGGACGAGTCACTTAAGAAAACTAAATACTAAATATTTTTTCTTAAAGAACTGAGAATCTTCAACTTCATCAATCACTAAAATGCCAAACAAGCTTCTTTAAATTTATATGCAAGACCTAAAGTTTGGAACAAGAGTATTTATCATAATCAGTAGGTTTTTAGATGAACGCCATCTAATGATACTTTCAAGAATAAGAAAAAAATATGATTATATGATTTTGAATCTCATAGGCATATTGGACACAAATCTGTTAATATATGTTATATTCTTCCTCAAATATTTGAAGATGAATTGACTTCTCCTGCCTTTTTATGTTCCCAAATTAAAAGTGAATAAGTAATGTTACGGTATTTTAAAAAGTTGGTAAAATATCTGACAGAATAGAGAATAATATCATAGTTGTATGTGTCCGTGGAAAGTCTACGTTAATCTCAGGAAGCAGTATATCCTTTTCACCAGCTAAATCGGAGTTTGAGTACTCATTCTACTCCTTGGTAGATGGGTGATCTTGCAGTTAAATTCTCTGAACTTGAGTTTTACCATCTTTGCAACATACATATTCATATCTTGGATAGAAGTGTTCCTACTAACCAAGCACCCTCTTTAGATACTCAACAAATATTTGTCCTCATTCTTGATAAGTCTTATATATCAAATTATTGCTTATCTCTGTAGAAGCTTTTGGGTTCTGTGTACCCTCTGATTACATGGAATTCTTATTTAAGTGGTTTTAACTGAAATTTCCTTTGCAACTTCTCAGAATTTCAAAAGAGAAGAGCAGAACTTCGTTGTACAGAATGAAATCAACAATATGTCTTTCCTTATTACTGACACCAAGTCAAAGATGTCAAAGGTATAAACTGTTTCACTATTCTAGAAAATGTCTGAATATAACTTTCATGAATTGACCTTTTTCTTTTAGATTTTTTGAAGATTTATAACTGGAATCTGCTGGATTTGGTAATGTTATTCACTAATTAAAGCACACATACTGCTTATGTGTGCTTACATGCACACATACCCAGGATTTGTTTTAAAGTACTATATGATAAGATATGCAGACATGAAAATGATTCTCATGAAGAAGTTTTTATACACAGATTTCTACAAAAAGGAGGCATGACATGCCATACTGGGCCATGTGGGGAGGTGTCAGGGGAGAGGCAGAGTGAGTGAGGGGAAAATGTAGGCCAGAGCCTTTATTGTGGTTCCACAGGAAGGAACAAGCAAGGCATAGGTTTATGATTGGTTAGTTTGAATAATTGTTGAGGGCTCTGCATCAAAGGGGCTATGCTTAGTGGTATCTGGCCCTAGGGTGATTAGGGCAGGTGGCTAGTAGCCCAGAGTGTGAGAGCTTAATAAGGAAGTGGGGGGGTGTGGGCTCTGGATTGGTTGATTGTATATGAAGGGTGAGCTCCCCACACCAGAGGATTCATTTACTTTTCTAGGAATCAGTTAGCCATAGGAAGGGCAATCTCTCCAGGATCAGCAAGTCTTCAAGATGTCAAAGAATCAGAATAAAGACACACACACACCACTCACAAAATTGCCGGTCACTATAATATAGGAATAGCTAGTCGATATTATGTATTCATCAAGGGTAAATATTTGTAAACTTATGTGTGCCAAATATATAAACTTCAGAATAATTAGCTGCATTATTTAACAACCACATGGATGAATTCCAGGTGCTCACACATAAGGTCGGAGGCATGCTTTCAGATTTTTTGTTTTGTCTATCACTTATGTTGCGGAGAAGAGGAGTTTCCTTATAAGATCTTTTTTTTTTTTTTTTTTTTT